GCATTCCGTCTCCTGTATCGGGTTCGCGGTCGAATATCAAGGCAGGTTAGCTGCCCACAGCGGAAGCGGTAGGAATTTGTCTGCACAACATCCCTCTGTGTACCCAAAAACAATTTGTGTAGGCGCCTAAGCTTCCCCTGCCCACCCCACGTACAACCCATATTCCGAGTAGTCCCAAGGATCGGATGACCTAACAACTGTGTGATCATTGAGATTTCCACATCCGGTCCCAAGATTAAATTAGCCCCAGATAACCCATGAGGTTATTTTCCCATTCCCGAAACATGTGTTTGCGTTTTTTATGATTGCATACTGATTTATATATGAACAGCGTAATATTTATTCTGATGTACTTGGCATAACTGCGAATCACTGAAAACGAGCTTATTGGTCACTCCTTGTTCTATTTGAAACGTACTCTGTGGGACTGTTTAGACAATTAAAGCAAGCCAAAGATCCCATCGTGTTTGGCGGACTTAATAAGTATGTTAAGTTCCGTAAGAAACTGGCTCTGGCAGAGGCTCGAATTAAGTTCATTGACGAGTGTGTTACCAAATCGGAATTTCCGGATCTCGAACCCGAGACTAGTCAGATTGGGTGCAAACACATTTTGTACTCAGGAACCGAGCAGTTGATCAGACGGATGCAATTTATTCATATAAGACAGAACAAAATTCACCGTTTCAAGTTCGTCACTGTCATCTTACCTTTGAATAAACTAACAGGAACCTGACTATGTATTCATGGAAAGGTTAGAATGAATACACTTTGTGACAAGGTTCAAGCCAGAAAAGTGTGGGTTGTACGAAGAGTCTTGAAAGCTCTGTTCTAGAATATCTGTGTATGATAAAAATGTAACTCTTACGTACGGGTATTCGTTAGGTCGTAAGATATCGTGCCTAACACAAAGCTTATTCGGTCCGATGACAATACGTGAAACGAATTCCTCGCTCAGTATTTGTCTTTCTTTTATCACTTTTTCATTTTTACTTCCTTGTATTGAATGTATGAAGATACAAGTTCTACGAAGAAGCAGGCGATCAATCAAATGGCTGCAATACAGCACAAATTGGATGAAGTCTGGGAATGATGATGGGATTCGAACACACGTCCTTTGGGGTAATAGTATGGTGACGTTACCACCGGGCCATTATCATCGAATTAGGAAAACTCGGTCTGATCAGCTGCCCAGTGGCCGAGTGGGTAGCATGCTTGCGTTCTATCGGTGAGGTCCCGAGCTCGATCCCCAGTTGGGTCGATGGATTTGCACTGCTGATGTGACCCAACCAGTTCGAAGCAGCTGTTCAGTGCTTCATAGCTTCTCATTACACGCTTCGTTTGCTTTGGACGCGGCGAAACTTGTATTGTATTGTAATGTGTATAACTTTTGCAAGCACTGGAGCTCACATTTCAGTTAAAAAGCATGCACGCTAACCGTCACAATGTACATAATCAACGGGAGAAAAGTTTTCGCAGGCATGGAGACATTCATAATCCAAGGTTAAGACAAAGTTCACTCATTTTTCCCTCTTTGTTTGTGAGTAGACGAGCAAGATACGGTATGGGTGAATTGCGGTATGCATTAATTCGAGATGAAATTTGACGAAATTGGGAGCGTGCTGAATGATGGGAATGACAAAGTGTCAGTTCTGCATGCAAT